GCTCTCTGCTGCGGGTGCTCAGAGCTGGTGTGGACCCAGCACGGGTCCGTCCGCTGCTACCCCTGCATCTCCCATCCCCTCCAAGCCAGCCCCAGCCTGGGGGAGCCCCCCCAGAGCTCCTTACAGCAGATGCGGGATTAAGCAGGGGGCCGGGCTCCCCCTCCCCAGGCACCCATAAAGAAGGGGAAGGAAGTTTTCCAGGGCCTTTTCCCCAGCCCTGCTCAGCAGCCAGGGCAAACAGCAGGCTCCTTTCCAGGCCTTAGTGCCCTTTCCTTCCCTTTCTTTCCTTCCCTTTCTTTCCTTCCCTTTCTTTCCTTCCCTTTCTTTCCTTCCCTTTCTTTCCTTCCCTTTCTTTCCTTCCCTTTCTTTCCTTCCCTTTCTTTCCTTCCCTTTCTTTCCTTCCCTTTCTTTCCTTCCCTTTCTTTCCTTCCCTTCTTTCCTTCCCTTTCTTTCCTTCCCTTTCTTTCCTTCCCTTTCTTTCCTTCCCTTTCTTTCCTTCCCTTTCTTTCCTTCCCTTTCTTTCCTTCCTTTCTTTCCTTCCCTTTCTTTCCTTCCCTTTCTTTCCTTCCCTTTCTTTCCTTCCCTTTCTTTCCTTCCCTTTCTTTCCTTCCCTTTCTTTCCTTCCCTTCTTTCCTTCCCTTTCTTTCCTTCCCTTTCTTTCCTTCCCTTTCTTTCCTTCCTTTCTTTCCTTCCCTTTCTTTCCTTCCCTTTCTTTCCTTCCCTTTCTTTCCTTCCCTTTCTTTCCTTCCCTTTCTTTCCTTCCCTTTCTTTCCTTCCCTTTCTTTCCTTCCCTTTCTTTCCTTCCCTTTCTTTCCTTCCCTTTCTTTCCTTCCCTTTCTTTCCTCCCTTTCTTTCCTTCCCTTTCTTTCCTTCCCTTTCTTTCCTTCCCTTTCTTTCCTTCCCTTTCTTTCCTTCCCTTTCTTTCCTTCCCTTTCTTTCCTTCCCTTTCTTTCCTTCCCTTTCTTTCCTTCCCTTTCTTTCCTTCCCTTTCTTTCCTTCCCTTTCTTTCCTTCCCTTTCTTTCCTTCCCTTTCTTTCCTTCCCTTTCTTTCCTTCCCTTTCTTTCCTTCCCTTTCTTTCCTTCCCTTTCTTTCCTTCCCTTTCTTTCCTTCCCTTTCTTTCCTTCCCTTTCTTTCCTTCCCTTTCTTTCCTTCCCTTTCTTTCCTTCCCTTTCTTTCCTTCCCTTTCTTTCCTTCCCTTTCTTCCCTTCCCTTTCTTCCCTTTCTTTTCACCCTCCTCCCATCTCCTGCACTAACCATAAATCAGGTCCCTGTCCCCAGGGGCCATCCAATGCAGCTGGTCCCACACATGAAAGCCACCTCAGAAAGCTCCTTCCCTCCCTCTCCCCTCAGCACAGCTTTAGTGAGGGCTGCAGGGAGGGCAATGCAGGGAGAGGATGCTCGTTGCCCCCCCAGGTCCTGCCTGCTCCAGGCTCCCTTCCCAGGCCTTGGAAGCAGGAATCCTGCCCGGCTCTGCTCCTCTTCTCTATTCCAGCCTCTTTCCCAGGGGAGGCTGGGGATTAAGAGGAAACAGATTAAACCTAATGGATTGATTGCAATTATTTTCCCTTGTTTATCTGCAGCACCGTGGGGGAGCCTGGAAAAGGAAAGGGAATGCTCTTTATGTGTGTGCAGTCCTGGTCCTCATTATGTTCCCTGCTAGAGAGCGACCGGGGCCAGCCAAAAATAAACCCCGCTACAATTGAGCATCCTATTTCAAGCTCTTAGAAACTGTGATGTGTAAATACTCCTGTGTGCAAACCCACGCACAGCCCTGAGCAAAGCAGCTCCAGCACCAGCCCTGAGAGCTTCCAGCTGCCCGTGCCCGTGTGTCCCATGTTCCCTGGGGACATGCACCCCGCTAGGAGCTGTTGGAAGCTCCTTGGAGCAAGAGCCAACCTCTTGCTTGGGGGAATCCCAGGCTTAGGGATTTAAGGGACCTTAAAGCTTACCCAGCTCCAGCCCCTGCCAGGGACAGGGACACCTTCCACTGGAGCAGGGTGCTCCAAGCCCCATCCAACCCAGCCTTGAACACCCTCACCTCAATGAGCCTCCCTGGGTCTGGAGGGTTGGAGGCTGATCCTACCCTTTGTGGTGCCAAGGGCATCACTGAGAACAGCACCAGGAACAGGAGCAGGTGCCTTGTGCCCAAAGCAGCAATCAGAGTAAGTGGACTTGAGCCTTTTAATCCCCTTCTATGGAGCAACTCGGAGGAGGAGGAAGGTTCCCTCTTTTCCTGGGGTTTTCCCCAGTATCCAAGGTCTGTCCTGGACTGGGAGCAAGGCAGGATCACAGCAGTGAGCTGCTCTACAAGGCTGGATGAGTTGCTCCCAATGTTCCTGGCTGAGGTCCGAGTCTCCTCTCTGTGCTCCCAAGAAATCCTCCTCCACAAGGTAAGATCCAACTTTACGCTCTTGCTGTTTATAAGATTAGAATGGGAGAATGGGAAAGAAAGAAGGGAAAAAAAATCCCACCACCCTTGAAGGCTCTGGGGCCATTTTAGTGGATTCCTGAACCATGGGTTCTCTATCAATTCCCAAACCTCAGTTCTTGGGGGAACCAGGAGGTGGAAAAACCAAGCAGGACACCAACGTAGTGATGCTCTTTATTGGCATCCGACAGATACACAAGGACAGCTACCCCCCGTGCATCACCCCCGTGCATCACCCCCCCATCTCATGCTGCTCACACCCCCCCAACAAACCCCCCCAAAACCCTTCTACAACAGCTATTTCTTCACCAGAAAACTTCCTACTAAATCCAACTGGAATTACAGAGGGGTGAGTGGAGAAACACACATTCTTTGTCCAACAGGAGCGTTAGAAAAGGACACACAACGAACCGACGAGCACGAACTTTGGCTTGGGTTTTCCCTCCTTGCTTTTCCTTAATGCACTGATTTCCTGCAGCCAGGGACTCGAGGCAGCCCCCGGCTTCTCTTTGGCTGCTGAGTTTGTCTCCGTTTCCTCAGCCCTGAGGAATTCCCTTATGGCAATTGAGACCTGAGACCGTGGCAAGATTGTCCTGAAGGAAAGCAAATTGCAGCTGGCAAAGGTAGGGCCAGGTTTGGCTTCTGAGGCTGAAGCAGGCCCTTGGCTTCGCTTTTGATCTGGGCACTTTTATTCCAGTCACCCTTAGTCTGTGTTTGAGTCGCTTCCCCAGAACAAGGGACCGATGGAAACAACCTGATGATAACCAGTGCATCCCGAAAGCATCCCTGTGGATGGCTTGGTCCGGCAGGAGCCGATGCCCCAGCCGCAGGTGGGGGGGAAATTCGGGTTTCCTTGGATTTCAGTGATGGGAGACGTTCAGGGTTTGTACCTGGGACTCGCAGCCCTGCTGGGATCCAAGTGTTTCTAACCAAGGGGTTTGACACGGGCAGCCAAAGTGTCGCAGGGGTTCATCCGGAGGGATCGGTGCTGTTCATCCAAAGGGATCTTTTGCTGCACGAGAGCTGGAGGTGTCAAATACCTCATCCTGGAGATCCAGATTCAGCCTGTGCTGCTTTAGCATCCAAAGAGCAGCGGGCAGAATTCCCAAAAGCTCTGGAAGGATCCGGGCACTCAAATCCTATTGATGCAGGCTCCAATCCCTCTGGAAGCACTGGGCTCTCCCTCCTGACACCCAGCAGCTCCGCTGGGAACAGTCAAATCCTTCCATGTTCCCAAGCTCCTCCCGGACCTGCTGCCCTGGGTTTGGGATGTGCAGGTGTTTTCCTGCCTCCCCATTGAGTCTTTAAGGCCAAGAAATAAGGTGGGACCAAAGGCTTGGGCTGTAAAGCGAGAGCTCCGCAGGCTGTGAGGAAGAGGAGGGGCCGGGGCAGGGCCATCACCCCGCGTCACACACACAAACATCGAGCACGTAGTAAAAGGACATGATATTATTTACACATCTTGCTTCTCTCCCTAGGGAAGGGGAGGAAAGGCACCTCCTGCCTTCAGGAAAGAGCTTCTGCTGAACCCGGAGGCGAAGGGGGAGTCCATGGATGCAGATGGAGCCAGCGCCAGCTCATCCTTCCTCTGCAAAAGGCTTGTGATGCTCCAGGCAAGTGAGAAGCTGTGGTGGGGACATCCCCCAGGACCACAGTGGCAGCACCCATGGGTGCCACGGGGAGGCAGGGGGTGCACCGAGGATGGGCAGCACCCGGGTAGAGGCAAAGGGCACCCAGGGGAGCAAGCGGGGGTGCTTCTGAGCCACCCTTCACAGTGCTGGAGGAGAAGGAGCCCTTTCAAGCTGGGTCTGTGGGCGAGAAGGGGCGGTGCAATGGCAGCGCAGGGGTGGCTTTGCTCCTGGCTTGGTGCAGCGAAGGGGCGAGGATGAGCAGAGCCCTTTGTCACGTCCCCGCTGCGGGCAGGCACTTTTTCAGCCCTTCGATGTCCTCCCCATGGAGCTCCGGCTCTGGGGAGGTGGTGCTGGCACCTCAGTGTTGGGATGCTCCCGGTGCTCCTCAAGTGGAGCGTGAGTGGAGCTCAGTGGCAGCCCCACGGAGCCGTGCCCCCCACAGTTCACAGTGTAGGCTGGGCTGCTGGAAGCTGAGTCCTTTCCCCCAGCCCGCACCGTGGTGCCAGAGGACCAACCCCTTCCCAAATCCTGGTACAGCAGCTCCAGCTCTCCCTGCGGTTTGGGAGAGCCGCCGGATTTCAGGGTGCTGGGGAGGAGCGGGGGTAGCGGTGGAGGGGGACAAGGAGGAAGGGCTGGAGGAAGAGAAGAACTGGAGGCTCAGGGAGGAAGGGGAAGGGTCTGATGGGGGGGACAGGAGAGGTTCCTGTGCCTGCGCAGCCCCGCCGGGCTGCAGAGGATGCTCGGGGGGCAGAGGGGCTGCGGGTGCTGCTCAGGACTGAGCCCCGCATCCAACTGCTCACGGGCTGCCGGGGGCAGACGGCGGCGGGAGGGGGCGATACTGGAAGCAGGAGCTCAGTGCATAGAGGGCTGTGAGCTGGGGGGGCCCGGGGAGCCCCCGCTTCCTCCCCACGCTCCCCTCGGGGGCTCCGGGGGCCGGGGAGGGGCAGGGGGAAGGGGACCCCGCGGGGCCGCCCCTCAGACGGGGGAGGTGGCGGTGGAGTCGCTGTGGAGGCTCTCGGCGATGTCCCCGCGCTGGATCCTGCGCAGGGCCGCGAGCAGCGCATCCAGCGTGGCCGTGTCCTTGGAGGACCAATGGGCCAGGAGCGCCCGCGCCGGGCTCTCCTCCCGCGTGAAGGAGTCTATGAGGTCCTCCTTGTAGCCCAGCTCCCCCGCCAGCTGCCGCCACGTCTCCTCTGCAGAGCTGCCCAGCAGCTTCTCCACCTCCTCCTGCTTGCCGGGGGGGAGGCTGGCGTAGAGGCTCCCGTCTCCCTTGGGCGCTGCGGAGGGCGAGGCACAGCGGGACGGAACGGTTTGGGGTGGAAGATCCCGTCTCGGGCAGGTTCAAGCCGTTCCCCTTGTCCTGCCCCTCCATCCCTCGCCCAAAGCCCCTCTCCAGGGCTCCTGGAGCCCCTTTAGGCACCGGAGCTGCTCTCAGGTCTCCCCAGAGCGCACCAGGGGAGGAATCTCCTCCCTTTAACTGCTGCTCACGCTCTGGGGGTGCAGGCTCTGGGCTGTAGGTGCACATTGCTGGGTCACGCTGACCAGCACCCCGAGCCCTTCACCCACTCAGTGCAGCAGCATCAAGCCCATCCCAGGGGTCCCTCGCCCACCCCGCAGCCCCCAGCTCGCCCTACCTGGCCCCTGGGTGCTCTGGCCGGGCGGCTGCTGGTCGTGCAGGCTCTGGCTGTCCACCGAGATCCCGCTGTCGCTGTGCAGCTTCTCCCCCTCGGGCGAAGGCGTCTGGTTCACGGGGCGGTTGTTGGCCCCTTGCTTGTTCTGTTTGCAGTTGTTCCACCTGCAGGAGGGCAGCGGCGGTGACAGGGGCAGGGCCCCGGGCTGGGAGCCCCTTTGCTGGCTCGGCCCAGGGGGGGAGCGCTCCTCCCGCAGCTCAGCGGTGCTGGGAGCAGCTCGGGTCAGTGTCTGAGGGCGCTGAGCTTTGCAGGGGACCAGGGCAGGGTTCCTTCCGCACGGATCTGCTGCAAGAATGCAGCTGCGCTGCCAGAGCCCGGGGCTGCCTGGGGGACCTTTGGGGTGTCTCCAGCCCCCGGGGAGCCGCTGGACCAGCCCTGGCTTGCCCAGGGATGCGCTGCTGATGCTGATGGGCCATGACGGCCGCCGCAGCGTGCAGGGGCCTGACAGGGGCAGGATGCAATGAGGGCTCCCTCCCTGCACCCCCACCCTGCTGCCATCTCCCTCTTTCACCCCTCAACTGCCTGATTGGGAGCCCACCTCCTACCCCCAGTCTGGTCACCTCCCTCTGCTTTGGCCCCATCTCTGGCTGCAGGACCTCGGGGGGGGGCACAGCCTGTTCCCCCCTACCCAACTCCTCTGCCACGGCCCCACGGTGCTGCCTTGCTCCTCTACCTTTTGAAAGCGATGTAAGCCACCAGCCCCACCACCACGGCTGCCAGGATGGAGCAGTAGACGGGGATGAGGTTGTCGGCGGTGCCGCGGCTCAGGACAGGCTGGGAGCTGCCCATGATGGTGGTGACGATGTCTGCCAGGGTGCTGGGCACCACCTCGGTGTTGAAGGGGTCCCTGGTGATGGGCTCGGGGCTGGCGGAGCCTGCTAGGGATGGGGTGTGCGTTGTCCAGCGTGGGTGCAGGTCTGGAGGGAGAGGAGAGGAGAGGAAGAGAAGAGAGAAGAGAAAGAAGAGGAGAGGAGAATCAGCCGTGCAGCCATGGACCTTCTCCAAAGGCCATGGGGCTTGCGGAGGTACCAGCTCTGCCCATCCCCTTGTCCCCAGCACAAGTGGAAGCTGTCCCCTGCCCTGAATGGTGGTGCCTGGCCATGGCCATGGCTTTGTGAGCTCTGCTCCTCCAACACTGGGTTTGCTCAAGCCCTGCAGCTCTTCCCACCGCGTGCAACCTGCACGTTGAGCCCTGGGCTCCCATTGCTGGTACCAAAGCCCCAAGCATCAGTTCCAGCTGCCTCTACCCCCTTTCCCATCTGCACCAGGCCCTGTGCAAAGCAACCCAACAGCTCCAGAGCCTGGGTTTGCCCCTTTCCCACCCCAGCCTGCAGCCACACCCCCCCCTTCCATCCCAGCCCCGCCTGGGAGTGGACACGTCCCATCTCGCCCTGGGGAACCCCTCCCTGGGCGCTGGCTCCTTCCCAAACCCCTCTCCAAGGGCTTGCGGTGCCCGGGATGGAGCGGGTGCCATGGTGGCATCCTGCCCTGCCGGGGCCTGCAGCCAGACCCTGCTGCCCTTTGGGGCCGGCGCTGCCGCAGGGCCCCGCTGCCAGCTCACAAAGCTGGCCCTGTGCTCCTTGACTTGTGCCTCCATTTACTCGACCCTCCCGAGGGAGCCGCGCCGGCTGCCCCCGCGCTGGGCACCAGCAGCACCCGGCACAAAGCGCTTTTCAGTGCGGCTGGGAACGGCGCTGCTGCTGCCAAGGGGGGCTGGGGGGGATGCTCTGCCCCTGCCCCTGGACACCAAACCCCTCCCGGGCTGTTCATTCCCATTGGAAACATAAGGCTCAAGGAGCGCTGAGCACAGCCTCTGGGTTTGGTGAGCTTCTCCCCTCCATTCACTGCTCCCGGACACCAAAAGGCACCCGGCAGAGGGCCTGCACCTGCAGCAGCAGCATCCTGCCAGGAGCTCAGCCAAGGAATACCCTGGAGAGCGCTGGGCAGACCCTGGGGTTGAGCATTGACAAGGGAAACGATGGCTCTGGTAAGTGCTGCCTCGGTAGGATGCTCCACACTGCAGTGCCAGAGGGCTGGAATCTCAGCGAGACGCTGGGGTCCTCCCTTCAAACCCTGTGTCCCCATGGCTGTGGTGCAAAGGGAAACTGAGGCAGGAGCCCCGGTGAGCCCTGCTTTGCCCTCTGCCATGGGGAAGGCGGCGTTACCTCTGCATTCAGCATCCGAGACAGCCGTGCACTCCTTCACCATCACCTCGTTCTCCTCGCAGGTGGTGCAGGGCAGGCAGGGGTCCACGAAGTTGGCTTCGCTGGAGAAGGTGCCCTCGGGGCACTCCTCGCACACCGTGTCCTGCGAGTCCTTGCAGGGGAACATGAGGCCAAAGCCCACCTCGCACACGCGGCACTCCCGGCAGCTCCCGCTCGCCTCGTCCTGGAAGTAGCCGTAGGCGCAGCGGCACACGGCATCGTCCGACTCCACGCAGGGCGCGGACATGCTCTGCAGCCCCACGCACTGCGTGCAGGGCTTGCACGGCTCCGTGGCACTCACCGTGTCCGAGTAGGTGACACCTGGCAGGGAGCGGAGCGGGGCGGGAGGTGAGCACCGCATCCCCATCCCCATCCCCATCCCTGCGGCCCCTTCGGTCCTGGCAGGGGCTGAGTCCCATCCCCACATGGTGCTGGGCCATGGAGATGGGTTTGTGCCTTTTCCTCCTCCTTCAGGCCAGAGGAGAAGAGAAGGCTCCTGAAGGAGAGACCTGAGAGCAGCTCCAGTGCCTAAAGGGGCTGCAGGAAACCTGGAGAGGGGCTTGGGACAAGGGCCTGTAGGGACAGGCCAAGGGGAATGGCTTGAACCTGCCCGAGGGGAGACTGAGCTGAGCTCTTAGGCAGAAGCTCTTCCCTGTGAGGGTGCTGAGGCGCTGGCACAGGGTGCCCAGAGAAGCTGTGGCTGCCCCATCCCTGGCAGTGCTCAAGGCCAGGTTGGAGCACCCTGCTGCAGTGGAAGGGGTCCCTGCCTTGGGATGCTCTGCCTGCCCCACGGCCCGGCCAAGCGAGCAGAGGCAGACAGCACTGGGGCACGCTCTGCTCCCATTAACCTGAGCTAATCCTTCGCATTACTGTGAATTATTGATAGGCACCATTAGAGCAGGGAAGTGGCCAGGAAAGGCCCGGAGCTGAGTGGGCACATTTTCCGTGGCAGCCGAGGTATCTGAGCCGAGCAATTACAGCCGAGATTCCAGCAGGGCCCCCTCGCTCCCTCCCTCCCTTCACCCGCAGCGATGGAGCTGGCGAGGGCATCAATAAACCATGAGGCAGCCATCAGGGCTGGCAAGGGGAGGGGAGAGATCAACTGAAGCAAGTGGCCAGCGGGCTCCTGCAGGGACCATCCCCTCTGGCCACCGGAGCCTTTGGCTCTGGCAGTGCCTTGGGGATAGCAGGGGTTTGCTCAACTCTTTGGCTGCTCAATGGGAAGGGCTCCAGCGGGAGAGCTGGGAGCAGCCCGAGGTGCGGGCGGGGATGCCCACATTCCTCCCTGGCTCACGCCTGGCAGGCAGGAGGCTTTGCCAAGGCAGGGACTGTCTGCGCCTGCCCAGCGCCCGCAGCATCCAGCACAACCCCAGGGCCAGGAGACCCCGTCCCCTAACCCTAACCCTAACCCAGCAGTGACCAGTGATGGGGTTTGAAGGTTTCCTCCTCTTCCCACCCCAAAATCCCACTCTTGGCCCAGAGAGGAGCTCGGGGAGCATTCCCCTTCCTGCAGCACACGCACCCGTGAGTCACCCCATGGGCACCCGCACCCAGAAGCTCCCAGCTCTGGGGATTAATCCACGCTGCATTAATAACTGCAGGAGACCGCAGCTGGGGCAGGATAAAGCAGGAGGGTTTGTGGGGGGGGTAACTCTGCCTGGGGCTTCCCAGCCTCTCTGCTGCTCCCTTCCTCTAAGGCACTGAGTGGGTTTGGTTCCCTACTGGGTGCTGCTGCTTTCCAGGGTGATGGAGGCCAGATGCTGCCCCGGGGTGAGCCCCCAGTGCTGTGCAGGTAAGGGAGGGGGATCCCACAGAGGTGCTCCCATGGTGGCAGGGCTGTGGGATGCAGGTGGAGACGGGGACTGGGAGCTGCGCGGAGCACTCAGCCTTGCTGGTCCAGCAGCAGCCGAGCTAAGCAGGATAATGAAGCCCTGGGGCTCTGCTCTCTGTCTGTGCGATGCTGGGAGGCCTCATGGCTGCAGTTTGCTCCCGTCTGCCCTCCTTCCTGCAGGGATGGAGGGAGGGAGCAGAGCCTTTTGTCCTGGTACTTTCCAGCTCAGCTCCTGACCCAACAGAGCTGCTGCCTGATGTTAACCGCCCTGGGGCAACATGGAGCTGGGATGCAAACCAGAGCAGTGGCACTTGTATCTGTGTCCATGGGCTTCCAGATGGCACCCAGGTCACGGTCCTGGTCCACCCATGTCCTCACGGAGGGTAGACATTCCCTTTATCCCCTCAGTTCCCAGAAGGAAACTGGGGAGATAAGCCATGTACCAGCCTGGAAGTGCCGCTAATGGGAAGTGGGCTCGTTTGAGCATCCCTAGGGATGCAAAGTGACTCCCTGGCTTTCCAGCTCTGGAAGCTGGAGCCTGACACCCTGCCAGGCTTCCTATAGGAAGGGCTCATGGGGATGGACAGCACAGTGGATGGATGGAGGGGCTGGAGGCTGCTGCAGCCCAGGAGGGATCCCACCGTGTACCACAGCGTTATCCTTGGAGCATCCCGGAGCCTGCGGCCGGTGGGATTCATCCTGCAGCCAGCACAGGGACGTGAGCTCTGCCTATCGATTGTGCAGGAAAGCAGAGGTATTTTTAGCACTGCCCTGACACTGCTCTGCTTATTCTGCTCCTCCCTGCACTTTGCCTCCTCGTTGCTCTGCCCAAGCCATGCTCTGTCCATTCCCCCTCTCACATCACATCCCCAGCACAATCTGGGCTTGGCTCTCCCTCCAAATACTTGTCCTTAGGCCTTCAAAGGCTTTGCAGCAGTAAATGTGAAGGGCAGATTGCTTATACCTATCATGGCATTGTTTAAACAGTAATAGCTGGACCACTTCATCTGTAAGCATTTAAGCAGGTCTCCAGCACACATCTCCAACAGACATTTATGGAGCATTTGATACAGGCAATGTGCCTGGAGCTGGCCAGGAGAAAACTGTTCCCTTCTCTCTGGGGGATCTTTGTGATTTGCTGCTTCTCTCTCAAACTTGCTTTTAGGTTGCAGCCTTTCAAGGCTTTAAAAGGGGAAATAATACAGGTGGCTCAATGAAAGACATCCCATGGATGGATGCGGGACCAGCACAGTGTGGGGAGGGCAACACAACTTGGGCTGGGAGCCCTCAGGAGGAGAGAGGAGCTGGAAGGGGGATTTGGAAAGGTGCCTGGGACCAATGGGTCCCAAAACAAGGAAAGCTGGGATGAGCAGGGCAGATGCTTTGGGGAAATGCTAGGGGTAACGCTGGTGTCTGTGCAGAGATGGGAGGCACAGGGTAGAGCCGAGCCATGTATGGGCTGTACGAACAGCATGGCCCATGCCCAGGCAATGATCCCAGGAGGGAAGGATGCTCTTGGGGAGACCCGAGTACCCCTGGCCCTGGTGCTGGCCCCGCTGCGGCTCCATGCGGAGGGGAGCAGGTACTCACTGTCCAGGCAGGGCTCGCAGACGGTCTGGTTGACCCCGCAGGGCTGCACCACCCCTTCGCCCAGGTTGCAGGCTCTGCAGCACTCCCCGCTCGCCGTGTACATCTTGGTGAAGCACCTCTCCTTGGAGCCCCAGGCGGGTCCCTGCCGGAGCAAACAGAGCCAGGAGGTGACCCCTGCCATGGGGCCTTCCCTGCAGGGGCAGGCGGGGAAGGGGCCCTCATCCAGGCTTTGAGGGATATCCCAAGTGAGGGGCAAAGGGAGCTCCCATTAAACACAGAAACGACTTCCCTGTGTGGAGCCTGCTCAGCTCTGGAGCTGGAGGGAGCTCAGGAAAGCCCTTGCCGCCATAGGCAGGTATTTTGGGAGGGGGGAATAAGGGCTTTTCTGCATGGTTACACCATTGTTTGTTCTTCTCTTTAAGGCTGCTTTGCCATCCTGCAGGGCTCAGCCCCTGCCAGCCTGAGGGAAGTCAGGGCACTGCCTACAGCCCCTGCAGCAGTGAAGGGTTTGGAGACCTTGGGTGGCTCTCGCTGCACGTAAGGACCAGAACTCGGACCCCATGGTGGGAATGAAGACTTCGAAGGGAGCACCGAGAGCTTCAGCAACATTACTGTCTAATGGAAGTAAGTGTATCTGCTTCCCAAACCTGCTCTAACATATGGAAGCAATAAATGTGCCACGAGCCATGGGGTCAGAGCCACCCCGCAGATGCCCATTGCAGCCTGGGGAGCGGGGTGCATTTACAGGATGTTTGCTCCCCAAACCCCTCTTGGCCATGGCTGTGTGGTGCACGAAGCATCTCTGCCTGGGTGCAGGGCTGCCGAGATGCTCGTGGGTGACCCAGCCTCTGCCAGGGCTCCTTTTGCACCCTCTACTCGCACTGAGGTGTGGTCCAGGCTCGGACCATGCCTTTGGCCTCCAACTAAGCCTGATTTGGGGGGGGGGGGAAGAACTGAGCGGGCGGTCGGGGGAGCTCCCCCTCCCCGTGCATCTGGATGCCTCGTCAGCCCTGCACAATGCGGCGTTATGAACTCGCTGCGCATCATCCGGCAGCATCCGGCCCGGCGGAGACAATGGAGCGCCAATTATAGGCATCTGAATGACAAAGTGCTCCAATTACCCTGCGCTAGAGAGCGGGTGCTCTCCTCCCTGCCCAGCCTGGCAGCCAGCGCTGGCACCGGGCCCCAGCTTGGCAGAGGAGGGCTCGGTGTGCAGGGGGCTTCCCAGCACCCCCAATGATACCGGGCCATGGGTTGGGGGTGCCGAAGGGGCTGACTCGCAGCGGGTTGGATGCACCCCTCTGCTGGGGGCCAGCAGAGCTCCTGGAGCTCCTCCCGCTGCTCCAGCCCCGGCTTGTTTGGGCCGCGGTTTGACCCCCTCTCCCCCTCGCCGTGGCTGGGGCAGCAGCCGAATGTGCCGGCTATAGATAGAGCTGGGGAAGGCTGGGCCGGCAGCAGCCGCTCTCCCACGCTGCAGGCAGCTGCCGGCAGCTCCATTGCACCCATGGGGATGGGACCTGGCAGCGCTGCTTCCTCTGTGTGACACCCGGGCCCCCATTAGCTGACCCCAGAGACCCCTGTGGCCGCAGGTCCCCTCCCCATGGCACTGCCAGCGCCTTCCCCCCCCCCCCCCATCTGCGCCCCTAAATGCTGTAGCAAACAACTTCCAGCCCCAGGTGCTGCATCCCCCCCTCTCTGCCTGCGTTTCCCTTTCAGCTCTCCCTCTTGAGCACTGAAAGCCCCATAAAGATTAACACTCAGAAGAGGGGCACATGGTCTGCATTAGCCCGCTGAAATGTGCATGTTATTAACACAACTCCCGTTGACAAAGCCGCAGGTATTAACACCATAAAGCATTTTGACAGCTGGACCAAGGAGGGGGGCACGGATGGAAGGTGCAGGCGACACCTCTGTAAGCTTTTAATTGCTTTTGGAGTCGTGTCGGTGGGTTTGTGTGTCCGAACAGGCGCTGCCGGTGAGGAGGTGGCCTCGGAGGAAGCGAAGCGAGGTGGGAATTGGGCACCGTTCGCTCCAGAGACCTGGCACGGAAGAGCGCTTCGCAGGGGAGCAGGGAGGGGATGCTCCAGCTGGAGATGGGCCCAGCGGCAAGCCTGGATCCGAACTGCCCCCGAGCCTGGCAGGCGGGCGCTGCCTCTCTTGGCTGGAGCTCCCCGCCTGGGAGAGGCCAAACCCCGGCTCCGAGCAAGCCCCAAACTTCGGGCAGCAGCGAAAAGCCGCATCTGAGCGGGGGCACTGCGGGGGCTCTGCCTGCCCCAGGCAAACGCCGCAGGTAAAGGGCAACGAACACAGGGGTGCCGGGGGCTGGGGTGGCCGCAGCTGCGGGTGCACATCTGGACCTGCCCGGCTGCGGGCTGGGGGCAGCGGCTGGGCTCCCCCCGTGCACCCCCGGCAGCTGTAATGGGGGAATGGATCCAGCCCCAAGGGACGGATCCAGCCCAAAGCAGCGGGTGCTGACCCGGGGAGGTGGCTGCAGAGATCCGGGGGACACCAAAGCCAGGGGCTGCCCGAGATGGGTCATTCCCTGGGGTGGGATCACTTGAATCCACACGGCTGGGACAGCTCCTGCCTTTCCTGCCCCCCGCCCATCGCCGTTAAATGTCCCTGGGGAGCCTGGTCCCATGCCCGTGCGGGGGCAGGAGCCTCAAACACCGCTGCTCTCCTCAGTCTCTGCACGAAACTGCTACAGCCCCGGCTTTAATATCCTGCCCGGAAGGTGTCCGGCTGCCGAACGAGACCTCTGGGACCCCATCAAATCCTTCCCCCCCCCCCCCCCCCGGTACTTGGGTCCATCCCCGTGCGCCCACCCGGCTCCGGGCTCTTTCTTCCCTCCTGGCCCCCGTCCTCTTGAGTTGTATCCCTGGCGCTCGCTGTGCCCATCCCAGGGGCTCGCACCTCGGGAGCAAGGTCTCGCCCTTTGCTTTGGGCAGCGAATTTGGAGCTGGGGAAGTCCAGGGGGACTTTGGGATGGCAGGAGATGAAGGCATCGGGGGGTGGGCGGCTTCCCCCCCGCTCCATTGCTGACTGCCTGCGGGCTCTTGTCACCCTTTTCCCCTGTGTGAAGGGGCTGACAGCGCGGTGCAGCGGGACCAGAGGGGCCCGAGCCACCCCTGGGGTCCCCCATCCCCGCCTCACCCCATCCCCGGGCTCTCTCCCTCCGCACCCAGACGCGCTCCGCCCGTTACCCCCGGGACCCCCTCTCCGCGCTCCCTCCCGGCTCTCTCCATCCCGGTCCATGTGGGACCCGCGGGGACCCCGCATCCCTCCGGACCCCGCCCGCATCCCCCCGGCCCCGCACTCACCGCCGGGAGCAGCAGCAGCGGCAGCAGCGGCAGGAGCCCGGCCATGGCGGCGGGGCCGGTGACCCCCGAGAGCCGGTGCTTGGCCCGGCTGCCCTCGCTCTGCCGCCCGCTGCCTCGGCGGCAGCCAGAAAAGCGCTGCAAGTCCCTCCCCCTCCTCCTCCTCCTCCTCCTCCTCATCTCCGCCCCTGGAGCATCGCGGCGAGCGCCCGAGCCAGCAGCCTCCGCCGGCGGCACACAAAGCCCAGACCCCCCCAGCCCCGCTGCTCTCCCACGGAGGGATTTGGGGGCTCGGCCTCTGTCCAGCCCCTCAATTATTCACGCCCGTCCATCTGCGTCCATGCCCCTCCTGTGCTCTGCCCGTGCCGGGATCCATCTGTCCCCATCCCTGCAGGAAACCTGGAGAGGGCTTTGGACAAGGGATGCAGGGACAGGGCAGGGGGAATGGCTTGAACCTGCCCGAGGGGAGCCTGAGCTGAGCTCTTAGGCAGAAGCTCTTCCCTGTGAGGGTGCTGAGGCGCTGGCACAGGGTGCCCAGAGAAGCTGTGGCTGCCCCATCCCTGGCAGTGCTCAAGGCCAGGTTGGACACAGGGGCTTGGAGCAAGCTGCTCCAGTGGAAGGGGTCCCTGCCCGTGGCAGGGGTTGGAGCTACGATGCTCTTTGTGGGGCTCACTGGAAAGGTGAAGTGGGCTTTCTGGTGGCACTGGTGAGGGTGAGCAGCTGAAAATGGCCCAGAGGCGCCATCACCGGCCCTTGGGGTGGCTCCTGCAGCTGGGATGGGGGAGAGATTCCTCACTCACCACCTTTGTCCCCTGCACAGGGGATCTGGCCTCGTGTCCTGCATTTCCTCACCCCTCCGGGCTCTGCAGGTGCTGCTGGCATTCCCCATAGTGATGCTCACGTCCAGGTTTCCCACCACTGTGACCATGGGAACCCCACAGCTCCGAGAGTTCTGAGCTCCCCCCTTAGGTCACATCCAAGTGCCCGGGACTGTGCAGAGCTCTGCTGGAATGCCTCTTGGAAAGCAAATTATCGACCTCCGGAGGAGCATGAGCTGCTCCTGGCCGGCTCTCGCTGCTCCTCCGGGCAGCCTGGAAGGGCTTTAAGGGAAGTCCCTTGTCTGCAGCCTTGTCTTTCAATGGGATTAAGGCGAAGCCAACGCTGCCGTTTGTTCTGCGGCACGGAGACACGGGAACACATGTGGGAGCCACATGGCGATGGGTTTGGCAGCCAGAAAGCCGTGCTGGGCCCAGGTGGGGACGGAGCAGGACGAGCTGTGGAGCAGGGGATGCCCACCCGCAGCTCGGACGGGCAGGGAGGGAAGTGACAAGCCAAGCATCCACTCTCCATTTAACACAGGGATGAATGGAAGCGGAGCAGAGCTGCCTGCAGACATATGGTGGGGCCGGGCACAGCGGGGGGAGCAGCTCGGGTCTCCCGCCGTTCATTTGCCTTTGCAAGTGGCAAACCCAGCTGCTTCCCTTGGCAATCCCTGCAGGGCTCTGGGATGCGGCTCCGAGGGATGCTCGGGCTGCAGACCCAGGGCTTGGCGCAAGTGGTCCCTGAGCTCCATCCCTGAGCACCGGCGCTCGATGGCACCGTGGGGGAAGAGCCCGGTCCTGGTGGATGGAGGCAGCTCAGCTGGGCTGCATCTGCAGGCAGCTGGGCTGGCGGCCAGGGGAGGTAAGTGGAAACTTCTGCTCCCATCCTAACCCTCTGCGGCTCCTTTGGTGGAGGGACTTAGGAGAGCTTTTCATTACATTCCCCTTTTCCTGTCCCAGAAAGGTTGCGGCCCTTCCCCGGCTCCACGGGATGACAAAGAGCCTCTGGAAGTCTGCTGTCACCTCTCGGAATTAAAACCAAAGGCTCCAGGGCTTTGCTTGCTGGGGGAGCATCCCTCAGGCTGCTGCTGGGAGGCGGCAGCGCTCTGCTGTATTGCAGCCCCTAAGTTCAACCGAGAGCTGCATCGCCCTGCGACCGGCTCCGTGTGCCCCGGTGCAGCCGCTCCCCCTTCTCTTTGGGCCCCTTCCAACCCAAACCAGGCCGGGATTCCATGAAAGCTGGGTCCTGGCATTGCTGCTGGTCCCTCTCTGCTGTGCCCGGGTGATGCTGCAGGGGCTGGCACAGCAGAGGGGCTCCCGGCGCCCCAGCAGCAGCAGTGCCTGGGGCAGGTACAGCCGCATATTGGCATTTCCTCCCCAAAAAGGGAAGGTTGAGTTAGGAAAAGCTCAATTCCAGCTTGGGGAAGCATTGCAGGAAGCACAGAGCACACAGAACCCCTGGGGTTACCTTTCTTCAGGCTCATCCAGCTCTTCCAAAGGTGATGGAGCAAACCCAGGCGATGCTTTTCCCTTCTCCTCCCATCAGACCCCCAGCAATGGCATCAGTTGGACACTCAGTGCTCCTGCCCTCAAACTTGTTATTGATGTTACTGAAAAGCACAGGTAACGAAGCAGTGACAGTGTAATGGGAAGCTATAAATACCTATGAATAAATAACACACACAGGGAAAGTATCATCCCGGCTTCTCACAGCCAGGCCTCAGAGCATAAATAAGGGGCTGCAAGGAAAAGCCTGGCGGGAGCAAAAGGGACGCCATGACCATGGACTGGGACTGGTTTGGGAGCAGGGAATGGGGCCTGGTGTGTGGCAGAGCCCGGCTGCTCCAGGGAAAGCAAAGGGGACCTTGTCCTGCCCGTGTTGTGCTGGGAGAAGCTGTTGTGGGACCGCCCCTGGGGCACTGTGAGCAGGGCTGGGGTCCTCAGTGTAAGGACATGGAGCTGCTGGAGCAAGTCCATGAGGATGCTCCGGGGCTGGAGCAGCTCCCGTATGGAGCCAGGCTGAGAACCTTGGGGCTGCTCAGCCTGGAGAAGAGAAGCTGCGTGGAACAAAGGAGCAGCCAGGGCTCTCCTTGGGGAGCGGAGGTCAATTGGTGGCACTCAGGCACCTTTCAGGCCATTTATTGCCTTGCTTCAATGGAAAAGGGGAGGGAACAATCGGCTCGAGCCTTGCACCTCGGGCCCCTTGGCAAGAGCCACATCCAGCGAGCAGGGAGCCGAGGCTCCCGCGGTCCTTGGGCCTCAGGTTCTCCTTACAATCAATGGGATTCAGGCACCGAAAGCTTTCGCGGCTCCTGTGCAGCAGAGCTCGCTCCTCGCTCCCATCCTCTGCGGGCTCCTCTGCCCGCTCCAGAGCCTCCCCTCTGCGCTCGCAGGGAGGGATGGGGAGAGCAGCTCCGGCTGCAGCCACCCCTGGAGCGCTGCTGAGCGCTGCCTCTGTGCAGGGAGCACCGAGCGGCCGCGCACCCACCGCAGCCCAGGGAGAGCTGCGCCCTCCATGCAGGGCCAGGGAGGGGCTGATGCTGGTGCCTCCCCCTTGCCCCTGCTCCAGGCTTGCCCTAACCCTCATCCTCCCTGTGCCGCGCTTCGGATGCAGCCTGGGACGGATGGGGGTGCACTGGGAAATCAGTGTCAGTGCTCTGCGGGGAGTTATTCCCATGGGGATCGGCTCAGTTATTCCCATGGGGATCGGCTCAGTTATTCCCATGGGCATGGGGCTCAGTTATTCCCGTTGGGCATGGGGCTCAGTTATTCCCCTTGGGAATCGGCTCAGTTATTCCCATGGGGATCGGCTCAGTTATTCCCATGGGCATGGGGCTCAGTTATTCCCATGGGGATCGGCTCAGTTATTCCCGTGGGCATGGGGCTGTTATTCCCATAGGGATGAGGTTTGGCTTGACCACAGCATCCAGGTGCTGCTCTCCTGGCTGGGGGCAGGAGATGACACCGTTCCAGCGCTGGGTCAGGATCAAACCACAGCCCCATCCTGCTGATGCCGGCGATGCTGGTGCAGGTGGGTGAGGGAAGGATGAGCTCTCAGCACTGCAGTGGGGGGGACTGAAGGGCTCAGGGACCCCATGGATTGGGGCCACCCCAGTGCTCTCTGGGGGCTCCTGAGCACAGATTTCCCTTGGGTTTGGCCCCAGGCACCCTCGTGGTGTGGACAAGGCATAAAATCACTGCTGGGCACCTGCCTGGGGGGGACCCAGAGCATCCCAGAGGCACAGCTCGGGGGTAGGAGGGATCCAGCATCCCCAGGGCCAGGTTGGACGGGGCTTGGGGCTTCCTGCTGTAGTGGAGGTGCCCTTGCCTGTGGCAGGGGTTGGAGGTGGCTGAGCTTTAAGGTCCCTTCAACCCAAACCATTCCATGATGGTGATGCCGATTCCTGAAACTCCCAACCCCCCAATTCCCATTAGTGTCCAAGTGTCCCAATCTGGTTTCAGTTACACTCCTTGACATCCGTGCCTGTGATTTCTCCATGCCCCCCGCTCCCTTTTTCACTTGCTAATCCCCAGCCCGACGCTCCCGGCTTCCCTCCCTTTCCCTTTTCCTCTCCTTAGCTGTCTTCCCAGCACAATCCATCACCGGGGCTGCAGGGGGGGGATCCAGGGCAGCGCCTGGGAGGAATCTCTGGCTCCTTATAAGGACCGAGCAAAGGAATCTCCGGCGATGTCCGGGAAACTCAATCCCTGCTCGGGATGGGGCCGTGGCAAAGGCAGCAAAACCAGCCCATGGCTTCCCTGAGCAAGGAACAGGATCAGCGAAACAGCCCTGAGGGGCCAGGCAAGGACGGGAGGAAACTGCTCCTCGTGGCACCCATAATAAAGCACATAAATATGTCTGCAGCAGAAGAGTTATCAGTGTGCTCCTGCTTCAGCTATGGATTGATTCCACATGGCAGGGGCAGGGTTCTTCCTGTGCAGGGATGGGTCAGGGGATGCTTTTCCACCCTATGGGGCAAGCAGGGGACCAGTGCAGCCCCTCACTTTTATCAGGGTTTAGTGCTTTTTGGGAGCTGTCTGAGCGTGTTTCCCATCCATCAATCATCCATCCATCATCCATCCATTCTTCCACCCATCCACCCATCCACCCATCCTGATGTTCTCCAGCATCCAGCACTTTCCTCCTACACCCACCCGATGTTCCCCCCGTGCAGGTGGGATTTGACCCTGTCAGAGCTCCTGAATCAGGATCCTGACAGGGATGCCCAAAGGGAGAAAAGGGAAGGAGAAGAGGCCGGGATTGCAAATGAATCCCGAGCTGCCACTCCGAGATACTGTCCCTATGGCAACTGCTTCCAGCACCCGTCTGCAGCAT